TGTTCTTGAGAATGTCCGCCTAATAGCCTCCAAGCTGCAGAAACGTGATATGGACATCTATCAGGCATATGGTATGGTAGACAAGACATGTGAGCGAATCACTGTTATGAGACAGGAAATAGATATTGAGTATGGGCTGTGGTATGAAGATGCTACACGCTTAGCCACATCTCTAGACACATCAATTTTAGTGCCAAGGGCACAGAAGTCAACCCGACAAATCTATAGGGCCAATGCCCCCAGTGAATCTCCGAAAAAGTACTACCTCAGAAACTTGGCAATCCCCTTGTGTGACCACCTGTCCACGGAGTTCCAAACTTGCTTCAACCGCGAAAGCAGAAAGGGTGTTAAAAGTCTTGCTCTACTTCCCGGTGTCATCACAAAGACCGAAAATATTCAACCCATCGTGGAAGGTTTAATGTACTGGGAGGAGGATATGCCAAATGTTTCCTCACTGCGATCCGAGGTGAAGGAGTGGCAACGCTACTGGAGAGGCAGGGAGGCAATCCAGTCTTTACCCTCACCAAATTTGTCTGAGTGTCTGGAGCATGCTAACATCGACATTTTCCTAAACATTCGCACCTTGTTGAGGGGTTGGTTGTACTCTACCTGTTGGAAGTTGCGAGGCAGAGCGCTCTTTCTCCTGCCTGCGACGTGTAAAAACCTATCTACGCAACAGGATGGGGGAGGATCGACTGTCTGGTCTCACAGTGATGAACATGAACCACAACATGTATATTGACTATGAACGAATCTGCCAAATGTTTATAGAACGGAACAAACGGAAGATGTTTTCCAGTTGCATACTCTACCAGTAAGCTGCCATCAGTGTCACTGTGCCTGAAATCTCGTCACCCATAACTGAATTCTAACTACGTACTCCACTATCAATGTCACCCTGGTTAAAATCAGCAGTGTTAAACCGTGTCATACATAGAACAATCGTGTTCTACAGCAGCTGATCATGAGCTTGTTATGTTACAAATGACAACTGCCAAAAATCGTATCTACTTATATGTGTACCGTGTGGTTTGTATAAGCTGCATACTCTAACAGTAAACTGCTCTCAATGTGACTATTATGTGGAATTAGCAGTGTTAAACCGCGTCATATGGATAACAATAATTTTGTTTAGCTTCTAATGTTACAAATGCCAAAATGTTTATTGACTGAAATTTGTTTTAGTAGTATCCTCAGTGTCCCACTGTCAACACATTCGTCATAACCGAGTTATGAGCATATAGATGAGAATTTTCCTCAAATTGGCAGGTTTCAGGCTAGGGTAATTTTTGAAATCAGTGTAAACTCATTGAGAATTTTTTTAATGTTATATATTAAACTCAACATGAGCTAAATTAATGCTTTGATCGTTATAGAATGTACCAGAGAGCATCCATTTTTTCAAAATTTTCCAAACATGTTTATACAAAAAATCATACAAACACGCACTCGCGACCGTGTGCTCACGACCACGCCCGCTACCCGACTCCCCCCACTCTCTCACTATATTTGAATTCTACCCGTTACCCTGCCCATAAAGCTACCGAATCGGGCGATTCACACATAACCCTAGTGCCTCCCTGTCTGCTTATTCAATCACTAAAACTACGAATGCAGACATTAGGCTGCTTGTTCCCGGCAAAGGGTTTGTTGTTTGAGTTTTACTCATAATAAATACCAATTGTTATATGTGTATTTTTTATTACTTTGGTTTTTGTTATTGTGCATTTAAAGTCAATCATTTAACAGGACCACAAAATTTGACTCCCCCCTTTTTCAAAAAGCTGGATCCGCCCTTGTATGTATTGTATCAAGAGTAGATAATATAACATTATATAACATTATAATTAACATTGTTATTATTTACTCTTGATTGTATCGTATTTGCTTACTGGCTTGCGTAGCCACCTATGTACTGTATGTATTTGTCATTATGATGTTGTTCATTAAAGAATAGAGTAACTGTAGTAATTCTGTGGTTATAGCATTATACTGTCTGTGGCTTAAGTGCAATAGCACACGTATCTGTCGTACAAACGAACCTGGGACACACTATACGATTACACGTGCCTATGACACGGGCTCACGAGCTCCGCTATATACAACATTTACAGAACAACAAACAATAAATTATAGTACACGAAAACAACGTTTTATTATTTTATAGTTTTGTCATATCTGGAAATGAGAGCAAACATGTCGGCTGAAAGAAAGTTAAATTATAGCTGGTTTTGAATTTCCGTTAAAGAGATCTGATAAATTTGTATTGGTAAATTATTGACGATTCGCACACATAGGCCTAATACGTAAGGATTTGCTTACTATACAACGACGTTGTTTCATGATTAAAAGACAAACTCGATTCAAGTAAAGATCTTTTATTATTTCTGTCATCCGAATTACCACATTGATGCATTGAACACATTGAAGGAAAACGTTTTAATGTTCAATTCGTTATTTAGGTGACCCGGTTTTGGCCGCTGGAACGTGGCCATGGCAGGCTCTGGTGTTAAACGAAGGCAACGTTCACTGTGGCGGATCCCTCATCAACCCGTGTCACGTGCTCACGGCGAAGCACTGCGTTCAAGGTCGCGATCCTACAAAGCTGGCCGTCGTGATGGGAGAGCACCAGCGTTCTGTGGCCGAATGTCGAGAGCAGACGCGGAGAGTAATTCGTTTCATTCAACACCCGTCGTGGGACCTCGCCATTCTTCAGCTAGAGCAGAGCTTTGCGATTAACCAGTTTGTGAAGCCCGTCGATCTAGCAACCGTAGAGCCTACGATACCCAGTCAGACCATAGTCACCGGATGGGGTCAAATCGATCCGAACACGGTGATCGGCGGTAGGTTGGCCGATACGCTGCAGTTTCTACAGATTCCGGTCGTTGACAAGTCCAAATGTATCGCCGAGGGTATTCCTGTTTCTTCCGAGCAGCTGTGCGCAGGCAAAGCTACGGGACTGTACGCCAACGCCTGCTATGGTGATTCTGGTGGACCTATGGTGCAATGGAGACAGGGCAAATATCAGCAGGTGGGGGTCGTTCAGGGTGGGAAAGCGGGCTGTCCGGACAACAGTCACTACGCGGTGTATGTGAGCGTCCCGCAGGCTTACAGCTGGATAAAGCAACAGGTTTGCCAACGTTGGTCTAACGGATTTTTGCTCGGCGGGCCAACGTTGGCCCAATGTCGGCCCAACGTTGGGCCAACGTTGGACCAACGTCATTTTGCCAACGTTGGCCCAATGTCATTTTGCCAACGTTGGCCCAACGGATTTTTGCTCGGCGGGCCAACGTTGGCCCAACGTCATTTTGCCAACGTTAGCCCAACGGATTTTTGCTCGGCGGGCCAACGTTGGCCCAACGTCATATTGCCAACGTTGGCCCAACGTCATTTTGCCAACGTTGGCCCAACGGATTTTTGCTCGGCGGGCCAACGTTGGCCCAACGTCATATTGCCAACGTTGGCCCAACGTCATATTGCCAACGTTGGCCCAACGTCATATTGCCAACGTTGGCCCAACGTCATTTAGCCAACGTTGGCCCAACGGATTTTTGGTCGGCGGGCCGGCCCAACGTTGGCAGCCGACGTTGGCCCAACGGATTTTTGCTCAGCGCGCCAACGTTGGCCCAACGTCATATTGCCAACGTTGGCCCAACGTCTGACAGCCAACGTTGGCCAAACGGTTTTTTTTGCTCAGGGTGCCAACGTTGATTTCCCCCTCAAACACTCCCTCTTTGGTTCTCTCTCTCTCTCACACACACACACACACACACACACGCGCGCGCGCGCGCACACACCCCTCTCTCTCTCTCTCACTCACACACACACGCGCGCGCACACCTCTTTCTCTCTCTCTCTCTCTCTGACACATACATCCCTCTCTGGTTCGCTCTCTCTCTGATACATACACACTCCCTCTCTGGTTCTCTCTCTCTCTCCGTCACACACACACAACACAAACACGCACACACACCCCCCTCTCTCTCTCTCTCTCTCTCTCTCTCTCTCTCTCTCTCTCTCTCTCTC